CTATTGTGGGCTCAAAATACATCAAATTTTCAGGTTAGGCCGTTCTGAAACCACGTGTAAAGCTAACTTCAACAAGCTGATAGTGCGTTCCTACAGTATATTTTATTCCTTGGGGTGATCCTGGTATAGTGATCTATATAGTGGGCGACATGAGTGTGTACATGTGCACGCAGCCTTTGGGGTGACTAAGGAATGCATTAGTTCGGAATCTCCCTGTCGCAGACAGAGTATTCTGCGGTAATCGGTCTCCTGTAAACCATCCGTTACGGTACTCAAGTCTGTTGCTTGTACTCGCAATGTTGTATGTACTTATGGTTGTGTCTCATTCCGAGCCAGTACCTTTTGTAGATCGCACCCGAGACTGCGGGTTTGGTTTGATGATTACCTCAAAGACATGGCACCAAGCATAAGTCATGTGGGAGTGGTTCGCCATCTCTAAATAACACGTAATACTTCAGCTAGTTGTCCGGTAAGAATATATCGATATCTGGTGAGCAATCCATGCTGACCAGTCTTTGTGTTATGTGCAAGTTCGTGTACGTGCCCCGTTTCGAGTACTTTTGGTCATATATGTGAGTGCACATACGTACACGAATGTCCCGCAAATACTCATGCATCTGAATTCAAGTCACCCGTCCGCCGACACATATACTGATGCTGATCAGAGTCAACAAAATCACGCCACAGCGTACCAGCCTTATATAGATGTCTTGTGCCATCGTATCGACCGGTGTTAAGCGTGTGTAGGAGCTTGCGTTCACAATAGTTCCTCAGCCCAACTGCGCCAGACTTGCTAATTGTCCATACTGCCGGATATGCCGCAGGGCCCACACAGTACCAGTGCACAGGAGAGCTGATTGGAATATACAATACGAAGTCTCTTGCTTAGTATTTCCTCCGCTTTCCAGACAAACGTACCGAACTATCTCTAGACCGGGCGCGATTGGGACCAATCGCGTATCGGCATTTCTAGTAGCGCTGCGTTGCCGTCTCCGAGAAGATCTTCGGAGCTGTGTGTGTGTAGCAGCTGGGTCTTCTTGGTGTCATCCTGGGAGTCCGTGGAAGTGATGTAAACAGGATGAGAGGTGTTCGCTATATACTGGAGCAGCTAGTTAGTGTGCGTGAATAAAAATAAAATCTCTTATCGCATACATGGTTAACAACTGCGTGTATATTAAAAGAATCTTGAGTTTGCTAATATCTAGATCCTGTAATATAGTAGGAAGACCTGATATAAACATACATAGATGTGTGTCTCTGTTTGCATATATTAATATGCAATCATCCGATCAAGCACGCATTTAAATAGATGTATGCTATATAGAATGGTATTTCGCAGAATAACGAACTTATGGAATCACTTGCAAGTATGGAACTACTGAAGTGAATGTAGGTCCTCCCGAACTATTTGAATATATACACATCAATTTCAACAAACTCATGATCGGGACAGTTGTACAGACCTATCGCATAAGCCTCGCACTGACGAGCACATCAGTTTCATCAACTGATCCGCCATTCGGCTTTGCAATTGTGTATCTCCATTATAACATATACACACGTGAATATTCCATTGAAGTGGGTATATACATGAGTGGTGCTATATGTCTGCATTCACTTATATTGGTGGCAACGAGAGCAGAATCTGCAACAAGGACAAACGCGAATTTTGTACAATCATAGCTCACCGATAGGCTAACATACATTCGCACGCGCAAAAGTATCAATACGGAGAAACACAAAACTCAGTGAAACTATCGATAATGATAACAATGCACGCGATTCGCGCTACTTGCGTGCCATCGCCTTGCCCATGAGCTCACTGGTAAAAGGTTCGATTGCTGATTAAGCTAAAAAGTGCGGTATTGTTTCCACTTCATCGAAACACCAATCAAAAATAGCAAACATCCAGCTGCACGTTTGCAGGATACATAGATATAGCTATCACCTCTACATATGTATATGGTACTGATATTATATTATGCTTATGTATATATACATATATTTGTATACACAACAGTTTTACTACCTTACATACATATTTGTTATTATTATTATTTGTTATATACGCTATTATTATTATTTGTTACGTATATATATATATATATATATATATATATATGTATGTATCTGAATGCGCAGATGTGCCATCGTCCCTACATATGCATATGCGGATATCCATATGTTCTGCCTATGTATGTGTATATATTTGTATGTCCAAGACACGTACCAAGAACTCTCTGGAGCTTGGCCTCGATAGGAAGTCATTGTTGCCGGTGGTGAGCGCAGGCAAATCCCTTCCGTCGTGTAGGTCTGCGGCAACTCCGTAGTCGCGCAGTGCAAGGTAGTGCTCTACATACTGAGCCGGGGTAACACTGTATATAGGACAACCACATGAACAATGATTGAGACGCAAGGTGTCGACTTTTCTGTTTATATACATATATGCAGCTATACATGCAGCTATACGTTTATATGAATACATACAAACATGTAATCATAATTTTGGTAGTGGCCACCCCGTAATAGCGCAGTGCAATGTAGAGCACCACATATTTGGCTGGTTTAACATTTTATGTAAGACAACAACAAGAACAATATTCAGCATGTAAC